CGAGACACCAACTCTACCTTCCTGCCGCACCAGCAGGTGAGCGACCACCACCTACTGCGAGACACCAACCCCACCTTCCTGCCGCACCAGCAGGTGAGCGACCACCACCTACTGCGAGACGCCAACCCCACCTTCCTGCCGTACCAGCAGGTGAGCGACCACCACCTACTGCGAGACACCAACCCCACCTTCCTGCCGCACCAGCAGGTGAGCGACCACCACCTACTGCGAGACACCAACCCCACCTTCCTGCCGCACCAGAGACAGAGTCTCAGGCACTGTTCCAAAATCGTCAAATATTCTGTTGAACCTGCGTTGGGTTTCATTTCCTTTTCCTTCATTTCTCCACAGAAATGATGCAGCTTAGAGGACCACGTCTACAGGATTGTTCGTACAAGATTCATACGCAGCAACACCACCGAAATTTTATGGCCTTCGTAGCTAAGGACGCAACCATTGTAACTTGTTTCCCTCATTGTAACTTGTTTCCCCCATTGTGACGACTTGTTACAACATTAGTAACCACATAAAATTGAGCCCAGAAACATCCCACTTGATGACCGTTTTCAAATCCAGTCCAACCTCTAATATTGGTTCTAAAAAAACCTACTAGTCTCTCCAAATGTTGAATGATGTTTTGTTTGTAAATTCGCGCATGGATCAAGAATGCGACGTGAATCCGGAAGGTCTAGGACCGTGAACTGTAATACTGGACTATTCACTGAATTATAAGTAGCTCATGATAGCGGAGAACGTACTGCAGTAGCTCTGACGATTCTCTATCATGGATCAGAAAAGATATTCTCAAGCTTCTGATAATGCCAACTGCGACTTTATGTAATAAAGTCTCATAATCCAGTTTAGTATCTTCAAATGACAGACTGAAGGGAAGGCCGGCATGACGATCGCAATTTCAACTACGGTTGTGAATCCAGTTTCATATTCGTTAGTGACAGGTATACGATGTAAACAGTGAGACCTTATATCTCAATATCCTTGATTTTACAAACCGTTGTTGTATGAATTGTCTGATATTGTGGAAGATACTAACAACTGGGTTGTCGGACTTTTGATTCTGCAAGTATGTTCGAGTTTCTGACCAGTTCCCGCATTACTAGTCCGTACCGTCGTGGTCGTAGACACGTCACTTCCTCCTCTCGTATTTTAAGGCATCAGAAGTGTGTTCTTTTTATTTGAGTGTCCGTTTTGGTTGGGGAAATAAACTGTATTGAACTAAACATGCGTATTTTTATTCTTTTGAAACCAGCAGCTTTTATGGTTTTGCCCTTTAATAAGCGTGACCATAATCATATTATTCAATCATTAATAACCGTGACCATCTTGTCCTTTAATAATCTTCAATACCGAACAAACGGCGGCATTTCGATGAAATAATTTCGATCGTTTAAAAATAAGATAAAACAAAGTTTTAACGATCAAAACGAAATAGTTTGGTCGCTGGTGTTTAATCCAGATATAAAATTTCATACTTTAATTGATAGTTAAAAAGATTAATGTAGAGAAATTTAAGTCCAATGTTATATGACGACTCTCTTAGTGAACAAAAATAGTGAAAATCCATGTGATAAATAAGTCAGTTGCTGAAGCTACAAAATGTTTAAAATTCTGGTAATATTACCAATTATCATGATTACGTATTCTTCATTTTTTTAGACCGAATATCAGTAAAAAAAACTTGATTTATTGAACTTTGAACATAAGTAACCTTGCATTTCGTAAAGACATGTAATATTATTGCAAGAAAGGCAGAGTTCTTTTTCTTTCTTCGTATAAAGGACGAAATGACCAGGCAAAAATACATTTAGCTGTAGTTAGAAAAAAGTTTTCTTTTATTGATATCTTTATTACGTATTTTGAACTTGCAACCTTCAACTTAACCGCAGACTAAACTTGGGTGACCACTTGCACTTGCTTCCATTGGCTACTTAACACCACGCATATTCGATATGTAAATAGCGCTGCACTTTTTGCATTAGTGTGGGTCAGCCTGACTCAGTTTGGCACGGCAAAAGGGCGTGTCAGTGCTACGCCATACTGCGATTAATGAAAGTTTGTGTACTATTTGTACAATGTGACCCATTCATTTTCTGGGTGTTCAATCAACATGGTAAGCAATCATGTAAAGAAGTTTAATTGTTTTATAAGTTTAATGGTATTATAAATTATAAGTTTAATTATATTATAAGTTTAATGCTATTATAAGTTTAATGGTACTATAAGTTTAAAGGTATTATATGTTAAATGAAGAAAGTTTAATGGTATTGAAAGTTTAATGCTATTATAAGTTTAATTGTATAATATGTTTAATGGTATTATAAGTTTGATGGTTTTATAAGTTTAAAGCTATTATAAGTTTAATTGTATAATATGTTTAATGGTATTATAAGTTTAATGCTATTATAAGTTTAATTGTATAATATGTTTAATTGCATTTTAAGTTCAATGCTATTATAAGTTTAATTGCATTATAAGTTTAATGGTATTATAACTTTAATTGCATTTTAAGTTCAATGCTATGATAAGTTTAATTGCATTATAAGTTTAATGGTATAATAAGTTTAATTGCATTATAAATTGAATTACTATTATTAATTCCGGATCAATAATTTACGACAAATTCGTCCGAGCCTTACCTCCATTTGAAGGTATTCTAACTTTACTGTCAATTTATATCATGGTTGTATGAAAATATGCCTTCGCTTATAATTACTAGCCACAGAATAAGTAACTATATAACTTTCTAAAAATTTAGAATCATTGAAAAGATGACATGCATGGAGTATGCATTATTTTGTCGAGGAAAATAAATTATCTTCAGGAGTTGTTATCATAATATTTTATACTGCAGCCATTAAAAGTTTATGCACTATAGATAATTTCATAAGACAATTAATAACAATGAAACTAGCGCTTCAATTATTTGACATTTGCGGCAACAAAGTCAGGGGCCCAAAAACAGAGAGACAAGCACAATATTTAGCCGCCTCCAGGAAATACAACTTTATAACTCATATCTATTATATTATCGGTGGTAATTAATTTAATAACGTCCGAAAACTTGTTTTTGTCAGTGACTTTTTTTATTCATATGTTCTTCATCAATTCATCAGTGATTCAGGGGACGCGAAATACTAATAATTCAAGTATATATGAAAACGCAAATAACTCCATGATTTTTCGCGCTTACCAAATTTAGGTTAACTCAATTGGATCATTTTAGATTGCACTGCATTTTTTGGGCGCACTTTTGTTTCTCGTCATCACTGATAATAAATTATACATATTGTCAGTGTATTTATAATTTTTATATCATTGTGTATTTATATATTATTATATTATCACTATTTTGGAACGGTACGAAATATCAGAATATGTTTGGAGATCTGTCAACAAAACCCTCCTGTCCACTCATGGGTGAGGGAGGGGTGAGGTAGGGGTGACTTAATCAATCAGGGGTGATCAATCTGCGGCATATATATTGTTTCAAAGGGATCCTTTGAAATCCTTTGAAGGGAATCCTTTGAAATCCTTTGAAGGGAATCCTTTGAAGGGAATCATTTGAAGGGAATTCTTTGAAATCCTTTGAAGGGAATCCTTTGAAGGGAATCATTTGAAGGGGATCCTTTGAAGGGAATCCTTTGAAGGGGATTATTTGAAGGGATTCCTTTGAAGGGGATTATTTGAAGGGATTCCTTTGAAGGGGATCCTTTGAAGGTGATCCTTTGAAGGGAATCCTTTAAAGTGAATCCTTTGAAGGGGATTCTTTGAAATACTTTGAAGGGCTTGGCACTTGGCAGTTGTCCATAAATAAAAACCATAGTCGGATGCTGAATTTTCAGAAAAATTAAGGGTTTCTCATTACATTCTAATTAAGGGTGTACATAGATATATGCGGAACGAACATTATACATAAATACGTGTGGACTCACAGTTCCACACATATTTATTTACAGAACGAACATTATATTGGTACATATAATTAATTAATTGGTACATATATTATAAATTTATAGGTACATTATAGCAAACATTATCACCTACACCTGCGGAACAAACAGTAATATGACTATACGCGTGGAATAAATAGTTTAAACGTGAGTGTTTACTGACAAACTGGCCTTTTTATATTGAATAATCTCATAATTTTCTACATAAAATTTCATAAATATTCTCTAAAGAGCTTCGAATTTCGGAGCTTCTAATTTGTTGGTCTTGGGACTAAGAAAAGTGTCGCTTCATGTATAAAAATTATTTGCATATTTTTGAGAGACCAGTTTAGTCTTCCGCGCTATAAAAATGTAAAATATATAAAAATCTGGCCCATAGTTTCACAGTTATTAACATTGCAGCATTTCAAGGTTGGATAAGTGGGTGACTCACAGGGCTTTGATTCTCAGTGAATTGAAGTGTATTGTATCGGTGAATTGAAGTGTATTGTATCAGTGAATAGAGGTATTAGTATTAGTGAATTGAGACTTCATTATCAGTGAATACTGTGAAATTTAATGAATGGTGCGGCTTAGTCTTTGGTGTTTTATTGATGTCAATAATGACACGTATTGTTCGCGACTATTTTAAAATGTGGAGAATATCACGGCATTATATTGGTGGCAAAATAATATATATTTAAAAAAATAAAATAAAAATATTACTTCAAAAGAAATCAGTTAATTGAACAATTCAGTCGTGATCACAATATAAAAATCTGGGTCTCACTCTATATATTTGAATTTTTTAAAATTCTCTTGGAGGAAAAAATTTCTCCAAAGCCCATTTAAATTTCCAAGGCCCTAAAATTGCTTAGGCCCACCAAGGCCATCATGTGAACTTCAATGGTTCGCATTAATGGCAACCTCACACCTGACCGTTTAATAAAATGAATAGATTTTTATTATAACAAATTATGTATGGAAAAAAGGGTGGGATTTAGGGTCTTTATATAGCCCAATAAGCTGGAAGACCATGCAGTTCATCGTTCACGAGCTATAGAGACAACCACGAAGCTTGTTCTTGCCTTAAAAACTTCAAAGTTTTACCGAAAATAAACGACGTTTTCATCTTAATAATCTTAATAATTATTATTACATAATAATTTTACTCCGCGATGTCGGCGGCGACTCGAACCTTACTGGTGTGGATTGTAATATAATTTACTATTACTTTTACTGTTATTACTATTATAATTTACTTTTTACTATAATTTTACTATAATTTTATGTTATTATATAATTGACTTTTACTATTGGAATATAATTATAAAAATTATTTTTAAAATTCTCATCTTGAAATGTCATAGAACAATTTTTAAATTTTATTTTAATTATGATCTAAGTGAGTTCTTAGCCAATGGACTCATTCATTATTTGTCATTCATAAGGTTACCCATGCTGCGTAACTCAACGTTTGAGGTGAAGTGAAGATATTATACCTACGTTCCTGTAATTCATATAAAATTTTCAGATTTTTTAATAATATCGCACGAATATTAGACACTTTGCCTGAATTGTTGACAGCCCTGAGATGAAATTGTGTAATTAAATCTGTGCAGAAAATATTTTCCGGAACCAAACATGCACTATTTATCTGTCTGCATTAAAGTTAACCGTAAAAAGATTATATATATATATATTTCAGTTGACTCGCATCAAAGATCATAACTGAGTTAATCGTTAATTTTTATTCAATTTAAAAAGTATTTACTGAACTTATTTCGTATTCTATTTAGAAAGTATATCATCCTTTTTGTTATCTTTTTCAGGTAGTGATTGCGCTCTTTATTGGGTAAGTTTATCATGAAAGTCATAATGAAGATTACGATGCGTTCATAAAAATTAATTTTCCATTTTACTAACAAAAATTGTATATTGGTTGAGAAGGAGTGTAATTATGTTCTTGAAAATCAGATTTTTTTTACATTTTTACGGTATTCTACTTTTTTACATCTTCATTATTTGTATTTTACTTATTTTTCATACGTTGATATACATTACATCTCAGACGTTGATATACGTTGCTTCTCAGACGTTGATATACGTTACTTCTCAGACGTTGGTATACGTTACTTCTCCTGCAGTAGTTGATATACGTTACTTCTCAGACGTTGGTATACGTTACTTCTCCTGCAGTAGTTGATATACGTTACTTCTCAAATACGTTATTACGTTAATGTATTAAAAATACGTTATACGTTATTATATCCATATTTTGTATCTATTCATCTTCATTCTCATTTACCAACAGGACTGCGTCGGTGACAGCGCGAAAGAAGTGCAGCGCCACACAAATGACTGCCTGCATGAATTGTTCACAAATAGGAACTTGCGGCACTGATCTGACATTAACCGCTGCTGCAACGTGCTCTTCATCGCAGGTAATAGATATGCCTGAGTAGTGTGAAGTAGATCACAGTAGATGCATTGGTGTGATGGACTGCATCATTGCATAGGTTATTGTGTTTCCGGTTGATATTCGTGAGAATATGTCTTTTGCAGTCCGCATATAATTTAATATTAACACGAAGAAGCTATAACACAAATAAGCCAGTCCACGTACACTCCATCTCGCAAAAGCCAATCTTAGGAAGTTAAAGTCAAGTGCACAAGCGTGAAATCCTGTGGCTCTGTTCCCTATCGGGGCTGTGATGATGTCGGGTTCAGTTGCTAGATAAAAAGTTTTTATATTTATTCATGAATCCCAACAGTTTATAATCGCGATCATCATTAGACTGTTATTAAACTACAGAGAGGAGAGGGACTTCGCTCTGTCCTGCCAAGACATATAAATGACACTATAAATACACGTCGAAATGAATAATACAGAAAGATAATTCAATAATCTAAAATGCAATTCATAGACGCTTATTGAAGAGCACTATTCCAAATGCACTCGTACCTGAGAATAGCGTACTGCTCAGTCAGCCTCAGCCTATAATAGCTCAGTCAGCCTCGCAGGGACATCAGAGACAAAGTGCTCTAACTTGACTGGCTGGGCCTTGACTAATTAATCCGACTAACTTGACTGACTATTCTGCGCAGTAGTGCGGATAACATTCTTACAAAGTCCAGTACCATATAATGATCGCTGGTACGCACGGTCGTGCGAAACAAAGTTAAAATTCTTTCTAAAACTGTCTTACAAATATCATCTTATTTAAAACGCCCACCTTGTACATGAAATTCAATAAAATTGTATCACTCATAGTGCATTGTACAAATTATAATGGAGAAGTAATAGTTTTCTTTGTGCTCAACAGCATAACTTTGAAAACGAAGGTTATGTATACCTGGTCTTATACGTATACGAATATAACCTGGTTTATTCCAGGTTTAATTGTAATTTTAAGCGTATCGTTAGATTAATTGGCCACATCTATTCTAATTAAATGCATTGACCACGTTTCCAATCGATGTCTAGTATAAATTTAATTTGTATCTTTCAACTACTAATGAGTTTGTCGCCTGGAGTCTTGAATCTAATACAGCGTTAGACAAAATAAGAGACATACCTGAGAAATCCATAAAATATATTTTTGTAAGGTGTAGGTCCATCTTTTGCGGCAATTCCAGCCTCAATTCTCCAACGTGTTGATTCACACAAATTGTGAATTGCTTCCAAAGGAATTTTAAGCCATTTTTCAGATAAAATTCCCTCCAGCTCTTATAAACACAATGGCGGCGGGAATCGACTTTTGACTTGCATCTATAAAATCGACCACAAATGCTCGATAATATTCAGTTCTGGTGACCGTGGGGGTGAAATAAGATGCTCAACTGCATTAAAATGTACCTAGTGTAATTTTTTAACAATTCCAGCTGTATATGGATCGATGCATTATCATCTTGAAAGATGGCCTTCCCCTTCGGAAACAGCTATAGTGCTTGAGCCATTGGATGAACTTGATCCTCCAAAATTCCTAAATAGTCACGGCTGTTGATTCTGCCATGAAGAGAAATCATTGGTCCACCAGATTCCCAAGAAATAGCACCCCTTGATCGCCACAGATCCCCCGTCACTTTTACGGTTGGGAGGAGGCAGTCTGGATTAAATGACTCTTTGGCTGTCTCCAAACGTAAATTCGGCCAGAGGTTGGAAATAAGGTAAACGATGATTCCTCAAAGTAAATCGCATTTTTCCACTGCTCGAAGGACCAATTTTGGAGGCTTTCACACAACTCTAAACGCTTTGCAGTATTTGTTTTGAAACCTTTCTAATTGCAGCTCTTCCATAGAATCCATATCTGTTCAGCTCTCGGCGGACAGTCTTTATGGAAACTGGGTTCTGTAGGTGTCCATTGAGGTCTGCGTAGTAATTTTAACAGCCTTGGTATTTCGAATTGTCGCTCACAATTTGATTCGGGTACCGATGGTCTCTCTCTGACAACTTCGACTTTCGGCTAGACCTTTGCTTTACTGAGAACTTTTTCCATCTCATTCAAAATCAGTCATTACTTTTGAGACAGTACCTCTAGAAACGTCAAGCATTCTGGAAGTTTCTCATGACACACTAGAACATGCCATACGGAGACCAACAATTTGCCTCTTTGAAAGTCAGAGAGGTTTGCCATTTATAGGTTAGGTTATTACATAACATAGTGACGCCGGCGCTGAAGAGTAAGCCTGATGTGGCCTGTCACCGATTCTTGTACTTTACGTGACTTGTCCACAGGATATCTTAAAAAAGGTCCTTCGACCGTTGCCTATACTTTCAAAAAAAGTTAAGAGATCGTAAGTTCATCAGCCAATCATTGACGGCCTTTCAAGCAAAATCCACCAATCATAGACAAGAAAATAGTGCGTAAGTACTTACGTTCACTTAGCGAGTTCTGAAAGTATGGCCCAGTACCTTTTCCAAACTGTCGATAGTTTGAAATAGTTACTAGACTTCCACCGGGTTCGATATGGTGCTATAGGCATTCCAAGTATGAATATATATTTTCCCATAGCTTCATCTAGTTTTATTGTGTTCTTGAATTCGTTTGTACTTGGTGCGTTAACGATGTAATCGGGGAGGCTGTTCCACATGTCGGTGACACGATGTGTGAAGAAATGTTGTCGCGTGAATGAGTAGCAACGCAGTTTTTTAGTTTATAGCTGTGGCCCCTGGCAAAATTTCCGAAAAATATCTGTGCAAGCATAAGATATCAATTAGCAGCAACAACAAACAATAGAACATAGAAATATGTCACATTGTCTTTGTTTATAACATCTTCAAAAATTACTATATCAAAATGTCAGGTGTTTCCCTAATTTGTCCCACCACTGTGTATATGTACGGTTTGTTTGGCTTCAGTTATGTACGGCTTCAGCATGTATACAGTATATGGCTTCAGTTATGTACGGTTTCAATTATGCGAATGGTCATTAAATAAAAGCATTTAAACTTTTTTCCTCAGGTTTGCCAAGAGTTCGGCAACACGGCGCTGTGCGTGACTGCAAACAGCACCAACGTGTGCAACAATTGTGGCAGTCTAGCCACCGCGTGTGATCCTTACGATACGCGTATTGTACACGCGTGTATCCCCGGACAAGCTCCCCTACCAGTGCAAGAGTGTCCAGATACACAAATGTGCAGTGCAGGGGCTTGTGTTGATAAGACATCGTTATCAGGACTGAAAAGTCCAGCTGAAGTTTGTGCTGAAAATATCGATCCTTTAAAATTTTACTCGCTTAAACCTGCATGCACCTCGGCAGTGCTTTGTTCAGGAACCAACGTAATTTTCATTTACAACTGCACGTCAGGGAATTATTTCAATCAAATCTCAAACACATGCAGAAGCCTCCCGGTGAATCACTGCGAAGGCGTCACTACTGACGGAATTTATGCCCATTTAACCAACTGTTCGAATGGAGTTGTGTGTATAGGTGGAGCGCTTACTGATGAAATTCAATGTGGCTTTGATATGGCCTTTAGCGTTACCCACGGTTGTGCAATGAAAGATGATACATCCGTGTGTCCCGTAATGGACGGGTGTACTACTACTATACAACCAGCCGTTTGTTCTGCAAGCAACTTAAATATGCGATACCCCCACGAGACCAAGTGTGAGAGGTGAGATCTTCTTTGATCCTGAAAATTGGTTTAGATGTCGCATTTTTGCTGTTGATAAAAACAACTCAGTCAGCTAGTTTACGGATAAATTGCGTAAATTTTGGCCATTATCATGTTCATGCACCTTTTCAGGCCGTGCTTGCAAACCACATATCATGCATACATTACCTACAAAATTCTTTTCAGTTCAGAATAAGATAGTAAGACTATACCTATTGTTTAGATTCCAGCACATTCCAGCTGTCTGCATACAAAAATTCTTTGTTTATATAAAATAAATTAAAAATTATCTGAACACCATTTTAAACAAAATGAGGCAAAAAAAAATTAAAACCCTCAAAATTGTACCATGGAATAACGTAGTTGGAATTGCGTTCCTTCACAGATACTACACGTGCCGGTTAAGAAGAGGTACCTACAAATTCGTTGAGTCAACCTGCAGGGGAAATTTGGTCTACAACCCTACCACCACCAAATGCGAGACGCCAACTCTACCTTCCTGCCGCACCAGCAGGTGAGCGACCACCACCTACTACGAGACACCAACCCCACCTTCCTACCGCACCAGCAGGTGAGCGACCACCACCTACTGCGAGACACCAACCCCACCTTCCTGCCGCACCAGCAGGTGAGCGACCACCACCTACTGCGAGACACCAACCCCACCTTCCTGCCGCACCAGCAGGTGAGCGACCACCACCTACTGCGATACACTAACCCCCCACATTCCTGCCGCACCAGCAGGTGAGTGACCACCACCTACTGCGAGACACCAACCCCACCTTCCTGCCGCACCAGCAGGTGAGCGACCACCACCTACTGCGATACACCAACCCCCCACATTCCTGCCGCACCAGCAGGTGAGTGACCACCACCTACTGCGAGACACCAACCCCATCTTCCTGCCGCACCAGCAGGTGAGCGACCACCACCTACTGCGAGACGCCAACCCCACCTTCCTGAAACAGAGTCTAATTAAGGCAGTGTTCCAGAATCATCATATATTATTTTGAATCTGTATCGGGTATTATTTCCTGAAGAATAGCATTTAGTTATGAAACATTTCAGTTCGTATTATTTCTACATATGTTCTTTTCATTGAAGTTCCTCCCCATTCCTTCATTCCTCCACAGAAACGATGCAGCTTAAAGACCACGTCTACAGGATTGTCCGTGTACGATTCATACGCAGCAATACCTCCAAAATATTATGGCCTGCGTAGTAGAAGCGATGAAACCATTGTAATCGTTATAATCATTGTAATGTGTTTCCACCATTGTATCTTGTTACAACCATCTTGTTGCACAAAAATTGAGCCCCGAAAAACCCCGCATGATGACGGTTTTCAAATGCAGTCCGGGCAGTTTAACCTCTGTTATTTGGTTCTAATAAAATCTACTAGTCTCGCCGAAAATTGAATGATGAGTTGTTTGTAATTCAATTATGGGTCAAGAATGCGACGTGAATTCGTTAGATCTAGAACCGTGAATGATAATACTGGACTATTCACCGAATTATAAGTAGCTCACGATAGCGGAGAACGTACTGCAGTTGCTGTAGTGGATATTCGTCATCGTTGGTTTTAACCATGCCAACTCCGATTTTAAGTCATTAAGGCTTTTAATCCAGTTTGGTATTTTCCACTGACGGACTAAAGAAAATTCCGGCTAGTTTCTTATTCGATTGTGACAGGTTTACGATACAAACTGTGAGTCCTTATATCACAAGATCTTCGATTTAACAAACTGTTATTGATGGAATTGTCTGGTATTGTGGACGATACCAACAACTGGGTTTTGTTTTCTGTTAGTGTTTTCTAGTTTCTGACTAGTTCCGCATTGCCGGTCCCTGACACGTCACTTGCTCTTCTCGTATTTTTAAGGCATCAGAATTGTGCACTATTTATTTGAGTGTTCGTTTTTGGTTTGAGAAATATACTGCATTGAACTAAACATGCGTATTTTCATTAATTTGTAACCAAATGCAGTTGTTCCATATTATTTTTATTAAGCATGGCATGAACCACTTGTGGTATTTCGTTGGAAAGATTTCGATTGATTGACAACAAAATGAAACTACACTTTGTAAATCAAAAAGTTATAAAATATTATGTTGCTGATGTTGAAACCGAGTACATAATTTCTCACTTCAATGATGGATAAATAGATTGAATTTGAGCAATTGAGGCCTTGTGGAAATCACCAAAATAGTGCCTTTTTAAGTACCTAAATAAAAGAATGAATATATGTAACTACAACTGGGAAGAGTTCATACAGATGCTTCGGGTGACGTAAGCGTGGAGGAATTCCATGCGGTTTTTTTTAATAAAATTTCTGCTGTGCTAGCGTCGTCAGCTGATGCTCCGTCGGCAACAATTGTACCGTGCCCGTTCGACTGCTTGCTTCAAGAAATCACTTGCGTTACAGCTGACTATATCATCGCTGCAGTGCGCGCGCTGCTTAAGCAATGTGCTAGCAAACCGCTGCCGACGTCGATACTTAAGAGGAATTTCCTAACCCTAGCACCTTTTTTGGTCGAACTTTTCAACCGCTGCCTCACTGATGGTGTTGTTCCGACTAACTTCAAATTAGCTTACATTACGCTTCTATTAAAAAAAAAACAGATCATGACGCTTCCGATCCCAAATCCTATCGACCCATCTTCAACCTGTCGATTTTGTCGAAACCACTGTAACACGTTGTAGCCCGACAGCTGAATAAGCATCTTCAGCAGTCCGGTCTCATGCCACGCCTCCAGCCTGCACATCGTCATCTCTGCTGTAAACAAGGCACGAAAAGTAAAAGAATCGACGACAGGCCACATCAGCCTACACTTCAGCGCCGACATCACTATGTAATGATATGTTATACCATACCGTCCTGCTGTGCTGAAGGTGCTTTCAGATATTCTGCGAGCAGTAGACCGAGGCGACATTGCGGCACTGGCTTTACTCGACCCGTCGACCGCATTTGACACGGTCGACCACGTCATCTTATTGCGTCGACTTGACGTATCATTCGGCCTGCGCAGCACAGTGCTCCGGTGCTCCGAGTCCTATCTCGGCAATAGATTCCAATGCGCTCGACGCGGGAACTCTCCTTCTACGTCATCATTGGTCACTTGCAGCGTATCACAGGGATTAGTCCTCGGCCTTATCCTCTTCCTGCTACATACTGTCGACGTACGTATTGCACATAATTTCTTCACATAGTTTGAATCCACATATGTTCGCCGACAGCCTCCAAATTTATGGCTACTGCGCACCGTCTGACGCTGCAGCGTTGCAGAACCGGATGTCTGTCTTCATGGATACTGTCTCGGACTGAGGGCGCTCCAACCGGCTCCAGCTCAATGTTTCAAAAGCCGATTTTATTGGTTTGCGACTACTCGGCGCCTGCATCAGCTTTCGGCCAACCCGGTTTGCGCGGGCATCGAGCTCGTCATACCTGTGCCTTCTGTTCGCAACCTCGGCATTCTGCTGGACTCGGAACTTTCTATGAACAATCACATTGCCAAAGTCATCACAGCCTGGTTTAGCGCTCAGCGACGAATATGTAGCGTTAGCCGCTGTCCCTTGAGGCCCTCGTGGCGGTGCGCGTGCTGACCAGATTGGACAATGGGTGTTGCCACACTCAATGGGCTTCCGACCACAGCAATGAATAAAGTGCAATCCGTAATGAACGCTTCTGCGCGACTCATGTGCAATAAACGAAAATTCGTCCACGCGACGCCGATATTGCGCGATCTTCACTGGCTGCGCGTGCAACAGCGTACGCAGTTCAAGGTCGCTGTTTGACGTTCCGATGCCTTCACGGTCTGGCGCCTCCTTATCTCACGAAAGGTCTGCAGCGCGTGTCGGATCTGCCTTCTAAAAAGCGACTGAGTTCGTCACTAACATCAGACCTCGTTGTTCCATCTACAAGTCTACCGTCGGAGACAGAGCGTTCCTAGTCGCCTCCGCCAGAACCTTCATGAACAGTCTGCAGGCTTCCGTAACATGCCTAAAGACCGAAACTGGCCTAAAGACGGAACAATTTCGTAGAGCCTACGAATCAAGAGCTTAGTCATTTTTATCCGTTCTCATCCTTTATCTTGTCTATTTATTTTTAGACTGCCATTAATCTTATGTGTAACGTGCCCTCAAAGTCTGTTTGAACTAGACGCCACGATAACTGCTTCGTAGAATAATAATATTAATAATGGAGATCGACTGTTACTTGGTTCCTTTGAAGTTATTTGGAGCACATTACTCCAGGAACAAGTAGCCAATCTGTGACGGATGGTTGTACTTTTGCAAAAAAGCTCATAACAGAAATGGAAAGAATACTCGAATAAAATTAACAATATGCTTCACTGGAAACGCTCGTTCATCTGAAAATGACACTGTTTCAGGTTTAAGACAAACAACAACACCCAAAGCTCTCTGATCTTGTAATTCTGACACTTTTATTTTCAGATTTGAGTGTATTTAATTTAATTGAGTGTAATTCTGGTTTGAGCGTATTTAAATTTCAAAAAGTAGAAAAATTATTATCATATCATTCCTAGTTTACGTTTAGAGACAGCCGAGAGTCATTTAATCCCGACTGCCTCCTCCCAACAGTCGGAGTCCAGCTCCTCCGTCAGTTCAAAACCTATGAGACAAGCAGAATCAATTAGAAAACTAAAATTCACATTGAAAATTTGAAAATAAAATCCTGAATTGACAAAAGATAAAAAAAATACGTGAGGTGACAGGCCTATATATTTACAATTTCAAGGGGATAGGAGCTGAAGGCTGCATTTAAACTAGGTTTCTGTTTAAAAATATATAGGAATTCTAAAAGTCGTATGTCAGAAACACCAGTCGTGATAGCTAGAACTCCAAAGTCACTATCGGACACCGGAAAGTTGCACAGCTCGGCATGGACGCGCACATCTAAATGAGGAGGATGCGCAAGTAATGTTCCCGTTCTAAAATTTCTGCCCCTTTGCTCCGCCAGCCTAGTGCATAGTGTGAAAATCGCGAGACATTGTAGTGGTTGAGTATAATATGAATATCCTAGTGTATAATCCCCTAGTTGAGAGATATTATAAATCCTTTGAGATTATTAGGTGTAAAGCTGTATTTTGTCGCATAGTTAATGCCGATATATGTACGATGCTAGTGAACTTCGGCCGATAGCCGTAACAAAATAAACTAAATAAAAATAATCGTCATTGTAAGCCAGTTAATCGTTACCAGTTTTGATACCTATAAGATCTGATATTTGTGTAATAGTTTTAAGCTTTGGTAATAGCAGTTATTTCACCTTGTAAGTTCCGAGTAATTCTAGAACACAATGATAATTCAACCAAGCGCCTCAGCAACATTCATGCACGCTCACTCTTTCGACTCCCACAACGCGCGCTCGTGTTCTCTTTCGTTGTGCTTTATTCATTAAATTGTTCCACTGGGTGAGTGTGAAAATTAGTAATAATGATGTAACTTTGTTGTAGGTAAATGTTCTGTGTAGTTAATGCTAGCATTATTCATTTTAAATTGAGTTATGAATTAATTAGGAAATGTGTCCCGCATGCCCAAGTATAGGGGCCAGTCTGGTTGAGCCCTCTGATGATCCGATTTTGCTTAGCCTCCTAGTTCAAATGAAGGAAGATTAGCCTAGAGTATCACACTATTCAACTTACTCTACTGATTATTAATTTGATTAATGGATTATTAAGTCCTTAAATGAGTTTTATTGATTGGTTATCAATTCCTTAATCCTTATTGATTGATTATTAATTCTTTTGATGTTGACGCGAGATTGATTTTAATTCTTTGAATGATTCTTATTGCTTGATATTAATTCTTCTGATGCCGGTGTGAATATGTAATACAATACTGTTTCCATATTATTATTATTATCAGTCTAGGTCTGTCGAGTGGACTGAGATTTGCATAACCTTTGTGAGACCTAATGTTCAATTTGACTAGAGTAGAGATCAGTGACAATTAGTATTGCTTAATGAGAAGGAAAATAAATTGTAAATTATGCCAAGATGAATTAAATCACGGATGCATAAAACATTGCTTGGCAGAACTAGATTCAGTAAGCCCCACCATGATCAATCAGATTAACATTGTTACCGTTTTGATGGCAAGTTTTGAACAAGCTTAATAGTTGATGAATTGAAGAATTTGAGATGAATTTTGATTAAACTTTAATTGTTTAACTGTTGATGAATTTGAGGAATTTGAATTGAACCTAAATGAAATTATGCATGTAATATAAATTTGAAATTCTGTCTTGCATAGGAATCATGTATAGGAATTTGAGCAGTGGAGCTCTGTAAGAATATTTTATTTTGAAGATGTTCGAGTTAACTAATGTAATGTTCATGTTCTAATGCCCAAACCTTGTTCGCAGGCCTCTTGTCGTATATAATAAAGGTATATTCATTAACAATAAACCATCCAAAACCTCCAACTCGCACCCTCCTATTATACTACAATCCTATAGGAAGTACCTACAGAACCATAAATCGCAGCTAATTCAATAACACATCAGTACCATAACCACCTCAACATCATACCGACGTACGCTGATGCGCATTGCGCTCGACTGTATCTATAAATTAGGGACGAACGCATAGAAAGCTGGAGGGTATCTTTATGCTTGAAGAACAAGCCGATTTTAAAGTTATTGACCAACACCGCGTGCAGATTAACATTCGGAAGATATTTAATGAACAAAGCTTTCAATTCCTTAGCCATAGTCTCATGTGCATTACCAGAGTAGGAAAATGAACTATAGAATAGGATAGAAATGTCGGCACTGAAGAAATAGGCCCATGGCCTGTTGTTCCTACTGTCACAATCAACTATAAATCAGGTTCCTACTGTCACAATCGGTAACAACTTCATTATATTGCCTAGACATAAATTTCTTAATTTGAGTATAAACCAATTGCGAGGGAAACCCATTTAATGAAAAAATATTGCGCAAAAATTCAAATTCAGTGTGCATAGCTTTGAAAATTGAGCAAATACGGTAGCCACGGTTTATTAATGTTTTAATCACATTAAATTTGAAACGAAATGAGCAAAAACTATAGAAAGCTGGTGCTCAAACCGGTTAACGTTGACTTCCGGAATACAGAGGTCTGGAAATAGCCATGAAATTTTTGTAACATTGTAATCGAGAAAAGATAAACTACTGTTGGTTTCAAGCTCCATTGTGAATTTTATTGACTGATGTTGGAAGTTTAGATAATCAAAGAAAAGGCCCACATGAGAGGGATGCTTGAAAAGGAAAAAGTATCATCGACATATCGGTTATAAAAACAGGTTTAAAATCAAGAGGACAATTGGCCAGCCATTTAGTCTCGTGAAAGCACATGAAAATATTTGCCAAAGTAGGACCGAGTGGGAAACCCATGCGCAAGCCGTCAATATGTCTGTAAAATTTGCCGGCAAATACGAAACAAGAGTTTATAACTGACAATTCAAGAAGATATTTAAGGAATTTGCGGTTCAAACACATGACAATGTCACTAATCTCTTTGAACAATGAATTGAGGCAAAAATCAATATTTTCATTTAGAGGAATATTTGTAAACAAATCCTCTAAATCAAATGAAGCCATAGTTAAATCCTGAACATTGGTGTAACTCTTCAAGCGGTCTACGAAAACGTAAGAATTGTCTACCGTATATTGGTTGGTTGTCAAACAGTTCAACACCGTGACCAAAAATTTAGCAAGCTTGAAACTCAGAGTGTTGCTTGTAAGCAGCAAAAATGGGACGAAACTGAAATTTCGAAAAAAAATTCTCAATGATCTGCGATTCTCGTCATCTGCGGTATAAATTTAAATAGGATATACTACGAAATAAATCTACAAAGGATAACTAGCACACTAAGGTATAAATCTAAAAATAGTTACCAACTCCAGATAACTTACTTGTTATACTACCAAAGAAGGTATATTACACTACACGTATATTGCCTATAGTTAATGATAGTAAATGACAGAAGCAATTGAGGGTAGTTTGTATTATTAATTGACTGTGTCAGCAGAGCAAGATCCTCTGCATGATTTAATTGATCGTTCTGACTGGAGTAGCTTGGCTGTTGCTCTTGGGCATCAAAATGTGGACGAACCACATTTTGATGAAAACCAAAAAATTGTTTTTGAATTTTGAAAACCAAAAAAATGTTTGGCCGGCAGGTTCGGTCTACCAACGGTTAACGAATGATCAGGGGCCAGCGACGCGTTCGGAAGAGACTGCACCGTAATCTAGGCGTTTCTGTAACAAACAGCATTATGCTTTAATCATTGCCTCCTATACATATATGTATATGCAGAGATTATGATGAATTTCTAGATAATAAATTATAGAGAATAAGTGACCCGATTAATTCGGAAAAATTATCTTAACTGATCGGTCTACTTAAGAGGCAATTTGCAAAATGACGATTAACGAGTAAAATGGTAATGTGGTTAATTAAGCAAGATTAACATAACTTCAAAGTAATAAGGGGTCAGTAGTGTCATGCATTTAGCAATTTAATTGAATGTAATTCAATTAATAGCATTAATATTGAATGTAATTCAATTAACCAGGCAAATCTTAATAAAGTGAATAGCATACGGAAAATCTTTTAAAGTAATGGAGAAAAATTTGCATAAGAATGCACGATGGCGTCACCATCGGCTGTTTCATACTGTTAACTTCTTGTTCAAATTCAAAGCCTTCGCAGATGATCTATTTCTTCGTTTCAACAAGAAATTAGGAAAATTTTATATACAAGAATTTCCAAGTTGCAAATAGGCAAAATTTAATTAATAATTTCAAATATGCCCACCTTAAAATAAATTAATCCGTCCTTGTCCATATCGGAGGTATGGTTCGGGTATCATGTAGAACTGACTTGTCACACTACCACATAAGGTATATTACACTACATGTATATTGTCCACCTTAAAATCAATAGATCAGGGGCCATACTTTCAAAACTCGCTAAGTGTACGTAAGTATTTGCGCTCTATTTATTACAACACTTCTCTTTAACTTCACTTCTTGTCTGTCTGTCTGTCTGTCTGCTACAAATCTTGTAATCGAAATTTAATACACTTCTACTTATCCTATCGATCTGAAATTTTGCACACTTGTGTAAAGTTGGAGACAATGCATGAATCAAATGTCGAAATAAATTATTTTGAAAATGAAAAAAAAAATTTTTAAATTAAAAAAATTGAAAAAATAATTTTGTCAGCTCCAAATCTTATAACTGATATTTGACACACTTTTACCTGTCTAATTGATCTGAAATTTTGCACACTTGTGTGAAGTCAGAGGCAATGCATGAATCAATTAACAGAATAAATAATTTTGAAAAAAAATATATATTAAACAAAATTTATATATTTAAAAAAAAATTGAAAAGTTAATTTTTTTAATTTTTGAAAATTAGATGAGAAATTCATTGTACATCTGTAAGATTGGAGATACTGGATTCTTTGGAAGTGTTGTCTTTAAAAAGTAATTTTTAAACGTATATTATTTCTTGTCTGTGATTGGTGGATTTGGCTTGAAAGGCCGTCAATCATTGGCTGATGAACTTACGATCTCTTAATTTTTTTTGAAAGTATGGGCCCAGTTCTTGTCCTTATCGAAAGTACGGTTCAGGTATAACGTAGAACTTACTTGTCATACAACCTCATATGGTATATTACACTACATGTATATTGCCCACCTTAAAATCAATAGATCTGTTTCTGTCTATAACGAAGGGACGGCGGACACGGTTGGCGGACAACTCAGGGTAGGTCGAACAAGACAAAGGCCTCGGGGAGCGACGTGCTGCCGCTCGGATAGTCTTGCTGTCAACATAGGAAATCATATGAATTATTAAGCATATTAATATTATTGACATAGTGTTGTGTCAACATAGGAAATCAAATATATTATTAGGCATTTTGCTATTATTAACATAGTTTTTCTATCAACCTAGCAAATCATATATATTATTGAGTTTTTTTTTTATTATTGACATATTCTTGCTATCAACATAGGAAATCATATATATTATTAAGTATCTTATTATGATTGACATAGTCTTGCTGTCAACAAAGAAAATCATATATATTCTCAAGTATTTTAATATTATCGTCACAGTCTTGCTACAAACATAGGAAATCATGTAGATTAGAATAAAATAATTTTAGGAGTATTTCTGCCAGCATCAAAAATAATTTCATTTATCAGGCATTTACTATTATTGGGACATCATACAAAATGTTAATTAACAATCTTTCTGATATTATACTGAGAGTCTTGCGGCCAACATCAGAAGTTATAAAAATCCTGAAGCATATATGATGAAATATTGGAAATCCAGACCGAAATTTGAAGAAATATTGGAAATGCTGAACAATAGCTGATGAAAGTTTTTTATACGATAGTTCAACCGTGGAAGACTCGTATCACACCATCGCCTTATACCGCACTAGACTTGCCAGCCTAAAGAAATCCCTCTGACACTTCTAAAGGCCCGTTCACACTAGGGGCAACAAACGGGAGTAAGTTGGTTAGTTGGTTGGTTAAACTTAAAAGTTAAGTTCATCAGCCAATCATTGGCGGCCTTTCGAGCAAAATCCACCAATCATAGACAAGAAAATAGAGCGTAAGTACTTACGTTCACGTAGCGAGTTTTGAAAGTATAGGACCTGATTGACGAGCTAGCGATTGACAGGGGCCATGCCTCATGCGGGAGCGCTGCCGTAGCCCAAAAATTTGACTCTTAAATCAGCTCAAGAGCCAATGCTAACCCTCTACATGCAATAGAAATAGTCAGTCTAATACCTATGCAGCTGTTCTTACTTGCCTCATCTCGCCACACCAGCTTGAAACAAGCAATGCCTCATCCCACAAACTGAAGGCTTTCAGCAAGTAATCATGTTGGCTAATTTGCTCTGCAGCATGCTTGCGCACGGGGTGAAGTATGAAAATTATGCTGGTATTGGGCAATGCTGGGTTATTTCAGTCGTCCCCCTCATGCAACACAAGCGCGGCACTTAGACCTTAGTAGCTAGCTGTCTGTGGTCTAGTGAGGTTGATTGCGTACGCTGGTCCGTCACACCAAATGTCGACTAACACCACACTCGTTTGGAGTCACTCTCTAGTAGAGAGCCTAATTGATCTTTATAGAGAACATGAATGCCTATGGAGTGTTCGGTCAAAGGTACAAAAATTGAAATGCAAATGATGCAAGTTATTTTTACATGACGGAATTTAGCTACTCTACTTATGTGATTTTAGCTACTCCTGAAAATTTATGCATTACCGTTTAGCGATTTGAAAGGATGATATAATATTGGTATGAATATTGGAACTTTTTATTTAAGAATAGACTATATTTTTAGACACACCACCATGGGTGGTGTGGTCCATTACGCCGCACTCAGGGAAGAGAGGGCTATTAGATGCACCAATGCGGGCAAAGTACGAGTAGAGCCGCGATGAGTAGCCAGAGCGGAACTGGGAAAGGGTGCTTCTGGCCGCCTTGGGAGGGATTGCTCACTGGATGAGACAGAGAGGGCAGGGGTCAGCAACACCAGATGCTGAGGCCAGGTAGGAGTAGACAGCAGAGCTGTGCAGGGTGCTGAGGGCAGTAGAGTAGGAGTCGGGTGGAAAGGGACCCCTCCTCTAGCAGGTAAGAGGCTGAAGGGAGCAAGCGAGTCTGAAGCGTGTGCTTCATGGGACGGGGGCCCCGATGTCTGGGTGACGATAGGGTAGCTGGGATTGTGTGGTCGCAGAGCGCTGGCAAGGTACTGTGAGCAGAGCAGAGAGAGGTGTTCGGCCACGGGTAAGACCTCAGCTAAGCTGAGCAGGTGGGAAGCGGAGGCCATTTGAAAAAATCCCGTGGCTATGCGGAGGGCAGAGTTCTGAATGGTTTGCAGCTTAGAGATTGCCGGAGAGGCGTTAGGGAAGCACACTGGGGCAGCGTAGGTGATGAGAGTCACCTACGCTGCCTACGTCACCTACACTTAATAAGAACCTTAAAAGTCACCAGGAGGGTTTCCTTCTGCTGACATCAGCTGGTTCCGGCAAGAGATTTGAGGATGTTGAGGCGCGGGCGGGCTCTCTGACATATTGCAGCGATGCGTGGCGAGAAGGTGAAGTGGGGGTCAAAAAGTCCCCGAGGATCTTCGGGGTCCGACAGAGTGGAAGGTCGGACCCTCCCAGCTGACACGAGGGTCTGTTTGTGATTGATGGGTGTCGGAAATGAAAAGGGTAGTGTGGGGTTTGGAGATTGATACCGATAACCCCTTCCGACGAACCCATGCCGCCACATCGGAAGAGTGGAAGGAGAGGACTGCAGACGCGTCGTCGATCTGCACGGCCCCCGCAGCGGCTGTGAAGTCGTCCGCATAGGAGGTGATTAGAGGGACGGACTGTGGTAAGTCTGAAACATAGGAATTGAAGAGGACTTGCGAGATGACGGAGCCTTGTGGTACTCCAGCGTGTACCGGACGTGGGGAGGAGATGCAGCCGTTGTAAAAGCACCTGGCTGACCTGCCTCTGATGTAGCAGATCAGCCAGCGGGTGATATTGGCGTGGAGGAGGAGCCGACGCTCCAACACCTTCATAGATGGGCACAGGAGGGAAATGGGCCGGTATGAGGAGCTGATGGACGGAGGTTTGCCTGGCTTTGGAATGGCAATGATTGTAGCTGACTTCCAAATGGCAGGGATGACGGCCTTGGCGAAGGACAGATTGAAAAGTTGGGTGAGGTACTGGATGCCTCTGGGACCCAGGTGACGGGGAGGTGCCAGTGGCAGTGGAGGTACCCGAGCTCCATACCGCCTGTCTAGTCTAATCCGGAGTGAACACGGGAGGTGTGTCGGAGAGGGGATTGCGGCGCTTGATAACTCTGTAGGTAGACTTGTAGTAGGGGTCACGTTGGTAGTGGGGGACCAGCGTGAATTGGCGGCAGAAGGACGAGGCTATGATATGGTCTGCGGTGGCATGGGAATTATAGAAAGAAATGGGTTTGTTAGGGGCTTGTCTGGTTGATTTGCCGGAGAGGGAGCGGCACATCAGCGTGACCGGGGACTAGGAAGTCCCAAACTCATCATAAGGTCATAAGGAATGGACCACCATTATCCCTTCCCACATGAACGTAGCCTCCCACACTTCCAGACTACACATTATCAGCCGCAAGTGACCTGCCAGATCACATCCATTGAAGTAGACCAATCAGCCCACAAAAAAACAGCCTGCAATAGTTTGGCGCAGAATCGTCTGCCAGTGCGCGAAAATATTCGGCATCACTCGGACACAACGCGCCGGAGCATTGCATTAAATTTGAGGACAGCCACCAACCAGTCCGTATATTCATCCTTTACATCGTATCAGCCCACGGTCGAACGGCGGTCGATGAACGATTGATTTCGAAACAGAACTATGCTTTCTGAAACATAACCCAAGATGCTGTGATCTGAAAAATAAAAAATTTAACCAAACCCTGGAAGTTATGTTCGATCTGCAATCTAGTGGTGCACGGCAGGTTTCATGCAGTTCCACTGTTGAGCTTGGCTGATTGGTCGCAGTTCGTTATCCGCTGGCTACAGTTCGAGCTAAAATCAGGGTATAGAGTGATGATTCGATGAAAAGTTAAGAGGTGGACGATCATTACACTCTGGGATATTTGCTTCAGAATATTTTGGCATAAAGCTCTAGATATTAAAACAAGATGATGTCGTGGGCAGGTTACTGACGACAGGATTAATACGCGGCTGATTGGTGTCCTGACGGAAATATGCTAGGCGTTCTATTCAGGGCTGATTGGTGCAAAAAAATAGTGGTGCACGTCTGCGCTCCCTAGGTTATATAGCACACTACGGTATAATCCATATAGGATATTTAGCATACTACGGTATAAATCTATATAGGTTATTTATCATACTACGGTATAAATCTATATAGGATATTTAGCACACTACAATATAAATCTATCTAGTATATTTCACACACTACGGTATGAATCTACGTATATAGGATATTTAGTACACTACGGTAGAGATGAATATGGTACGGTATAAATCTATGTAGAATATTTAGCATACTACGGTATAAATCTAAATAGGAAATTTAGCGGTATAAATCTAGAACAGTTACTAACTCCAGGCCTGTCGAAGGTGTGGTTCAGGTATCATGTAGAACTTACTTGTTATACTACCACATAAGGTATATTACACTACATGTATATTGTCCACCTTAAAATCAATAGAACAGTTCTTGTCCATATCGAAAGTATGGTTCAGGTATTACGTAGAACTTACTTGTCATACAACCTCATAAGGTATATTTCACTACATGTATATTGCCCACCTTAAAATCAATCAGTTCTTGTCCATATCGAAAGTATGGTTCAGGTATTACGTAGAACTTACTTGTCATACAACCTCATAGGTATATTACACTACATGTATATTGCCCACCTTAAAATCAATAGATCTGTTTCTGTCTGTATCGAAGGGACGGCGGACACGGTTGCCGGACAACTCAGGGTAGGTCGAATCGACCAAGTCCCAGATCTCGGCGCGCGTCATGCTGCCGCTCGGATGGTCTTGCTGTCAACATAGGAAGTCATATATATTATTAAGAATTTTAATCTTATTGACATAGTCTTGCTGTCAACATAACAAATCATATATATTATTAAGTATTTTAATAATATTGACATAGTCTTGCCGTCAACATAGCAAATCATATATGTATATTATTAAGTATTTTAATAATATTGACATAGTCTTTGTGAACGCATTATTTGCCTGTGACTGGAAGCTTAATAGCGCGAGTTGTTGCCCTGTCATCCTTTCATTCATTATATCGGTCGGCTGTGGAGTCAACTACTACTAAGTTAGATGGAACAAATTTTTGTAAGTTCAGCCTTTGTGTTCGAAGATGTGACTGTATCTTTAGGTGTCTCTACACACTTAGAAGTGCTCAATGTCTCTGCATGTACATACTTTGAAATGTTCAATGTTTCTGTGCATATTTTGGAATGTTCATTATGAATTTCGCAGAATTATTAACTACTTGTGTGTATAATTCCTGTATGCTTTTCCGGTTTCCTTGCAGAAACCGTATTGTCCGGTATTAATGAAAATGAAGTACCCCTTTGATGCTGCGCCATGGGCTGCTTAGCACTTAGCATACTAAGGTACGAATCTATATAGGAAATATAGCAAACTACGGTATAAATCTATATAGGCTATTTAGCACTCTACGGTCAAAATCTATGTAAGATATTTACCACACTACTGTATAAATCTATATAGAATATTTAGCACACTACGGTATAAATCTATTTAGGATATTTAGCACACTAAGGTATAAATCTATATAGGATAAAATAGCACACTTAAATATAATGTGTATAGGATATTAAGCGGCATAAATTTAAAAGCAGTTTTCAACTTCAGGTCTGTCGGAGGTATGGTTCAGGTATCATGTAGAACTCACTTGTTATACTACCACATATTAAGGTATATTACACTACATGTATATTGCCCACCTTAAAATCAATAGATCTGTTCCTGTCTATATCGAAGGTATGGTTCAGGTATCATGTAGAACTCACTTGTCATACTACCACATAAGGTATATTACACTACATGTATATTGCCCACCTTAAAATCAATAGATCTGTTCCTGTCTACCTACCTCCTGCCTCTTCCTCCTACCATCCTGCCTCTTCCTCCTACCCTCCTGCCTCTTCCTCCTACCTCCTGCCTCTTCCTCCTACTCCCCCATGCCTCCTTCTCTTACTTGCCCTCCTCTCTTCCCCCCCCCCCCCCGAGGTAAGGACAACAAAGTTACTCGGCGGCCGGGGGCCAGAAGTATGTAATAGGTGTAGCTATGATATCGCCGCCCCCCGGGACCCCAGGGGGGTGACTGAAGGGGCTAGGCATGTATACGTAACATAGGAACATAGGAGCTGTGTGCGTCTGCTTGAATAAAAAATGCTGGTCAGATAACTAGAATCTTTTTAGTTGAGAATGTGCAAGTAAGAAGGACTAAATTGTGTTGTTTGCGATGCCAATTCGCATCAGTAACTTAAATGTTCAGAGTATCTCTTTGCTAAGCTGCACTCATAAGAATTGAACGAACTGGTTAGGTACAGTGGGCTACTGATCACTTTAAGGATCGAACACTGTCACGAACGCATAAATCAACGTACAGAGATGGTTCTAGTACAGTTCGATGCGTCAGAAAGTAAGCATTAAGATGAGCCTAAAAACCGGAAAAGCTGAAATTTCGACCTTTGGACCCAGATGCTCCCCCTAGTGTCAATCGAAGAAAATCACTCGCGGTAGCACTCACCCGGAACCAGCGGTACCCTGACTCACCCGGAACTCGCGGTACCCTAACTCACCCGAAACCTACGTTACCCTGACTCACCCGGAACTCGCGGTACCTTGACTCACCCGGAACTCGCGGTACCTTGACTCACCCGGAACTCGCGGTACCTTGACTCACCCGGAACTCGCGGTACCTTGACTCACCCGGAACCCGCGGTACTCTGACTCACCTGCTGGCACCAGCACCCAAATAAGTCCTTCTCGGACAGCTTCTTCTTACTGCCGCAGCAGCCCATTATGCAGCCTGCACACACAAACAGCGCTCTGTCAACACAAATAACAACTACATTCACAGTAGAGGGCAAACGCAGAACTAACACTCATATAAGTATAGCTACAGTCGCAGAGCAGTTGCTAGCTATAGTAGCAGAGCAGTTGCTAGCTATAGTAGCAGAGCAGCGTGCTAGCTACAGTAGCAGAGCAGCGTGCTAGCTACAGTAGCAGAGCGTAAGCATCTAGCACCAGACCAAAAGATGGCCTCTTAAGGCTCTTATTGAGAACCGCGAGGGCTTCGAACAGGCTGGGCTCTTCTCTATGAGTTTCTTCACAAATTAGGCTTGACTTTACTCCACTCGTAAATGAGATAGCGATTTGAATTTTTCCATTCTTCACCCAGCTAATTATTACACAAATGGTGGACTGTAACAAAAATATATGTAAACTTTGTATTAAAAATTATGAAAGGAAATTTCAAGAAACTTTGAATATTAATCTTCATCAAGTCTGCGACTTTTACACTTTTTTCGAGATGTCAACAGGTTGTAATTTTTATTCTCGGCATTACCTGATCGGCCTCTTTGTTGTAGATATTACCTATCAAAAGCTAGTTATGAACAAGCATGCTGATACGGGAAGGGAAGAGCCTGTATGTTAACTGATTCGATGGAGGCTCTGTGGAAGGTATGACGGGAAAAAGACGTCGTAAATTACTGAGCTGTCAGTTCACGACGGGTGGCACGGTGAAGGCGAACTCAATGAGAGGTGAGGAATAATACGTGGCCAGTGGTCAGTCTAGTCCAATTAGTTATAGCCGACCGCTGCCATTCCTTGGCCACATGAAAGCCGTCAGTTTCCGCAAAAAAGGGCTGGCTAGGATATCATATTACAAAAAACTACAAGTTCGAGAGTAGCGATTAGCCGAGCTTACGGCCTCGATGGGTTATGATTTCTCGCAACCGCCAATGTTCGAAAATGGCGAAATCGCCTGCCTCACGGCCTGAACCGTCGACCATCCGCAGACTGCCGACCGTACTCGCGTGACGGTCACCTCAGTAGAACAAGCTTTGGCGCGAATTTTAGGGTCCTCTTATAGGCGGACGATGCGTACACGTTATGGCTGACGATTATCACCAGTTCTAGTGGCAGCGCTGGCAGTCTGTAAAGAAAACGGTAGTTTTGGTGGCAGCACTGGCAGTCTGTAATGAAAACGGCAGTTCTGATGGCAGTACTGGCAGTCTGTAATGAAAACGGCAGTTCTGATGGCAGTACTGGAAGTCTGTAATGAAAACGGTAGTTTTGGTGGCAGCACTGGCAGTCTACAATGAAAACGGTAGTTCTGGTGGCAACTCTACCAGCCTGCAACACCGAGCACAGCGTTGCAGAACAATGCGATATAAGCGAGGTATCTTTGTACATATCTTCTGTCTTGACAGCGCAGAGATGTCGGCCATTATACAAAGTTTGTGGAATTAAAGGCCTTTTCTATTAGTATTTCAACTGCGCAGAGCTCGGAGGAAAGTAAATAATGAAAAGGAACGAAGCTGCCTTTCACTCTACAAATAACTGTCGATAAAATTAATGAATTCTCTACGGACTGCGATGTGGGCACCACAGTTCTACGCGAAGCAATCAAAGCAAAAGCAAGAATTTTGCAAGGAGTATACACGCGCTAAGTGCCAACTACGAGGCAACGTGTTGTAGAAGAAACAAATTCAAACTGGCAGTTAAAATTATTTCGACGATGTTTCCTCATGCATGTGTCACGTTCTGTAACACAGATCCGCGTCGCCGTCTCACGATACTTTGTTAAAATGGGCCTGGGCTTAGTGCGGAACCGCCACGGTGATGTGCGAGCCAACTTCAGGCACATCCGTTCAAACTTTTTGTGAATGTTTGGTTTTATTTATATGATTAAACATTGAGCTAACGTTGTAAAGGGTCTCCTCCATTATTAACAGTATAAGTAAAAAGGTTAACCAGCGCTGATACGCACCTGTTGCAATGTTATCCCTCAATTTTTTAAGGTTTGCTAGCCAAAAGCTAACCTTCCCCGCTTGGGAGGAGCCAATTACAGTGTCTCTTAATTAATCTTTATAATCCCTACTTGGTTTACAGATGATTCAACTTATCAATACATATTGCAAATGCATGGGCCAATCAGATCAGCGGACAGGCCTAGTGAAACCAACGGCGGATGATGAATAAGCCAATTTCGGTCTTTCATTGACCATCGATTTTTACGTGATGCAATACAGACGTTGGACATTTAAGAGTGCAATACAACAGAGGACATACAAACTTTAACGTACACAACAAAGTTTATCTGCTGCAGTATCAAAACGCCGCACGCGACACGCATGCAAATATATATACAGTCACTGCTACTCATGCTAAATTGTACCCCTAAAATAGTCCACAAAAACAACGCTGGAAAATATCGTTGGCTGACAAGTCGGAGTCGTCGCTGCAAGAAGATTAAACTTGATAATTTGATTTTCTAATAATTGTCCCAGAATTTATTATATTCCGATAACTATTCTAAAACTTTTAGACTTGAAGCCTTAAATGCAAGCGAAGCTGGAGAATAATGAACTGTGGAATCGATGAAATCTAACGCACTATTTAATGTAACAAAAACATATATAAAAAAAATAGAAGACCAGAGCGTATTTCTTATTAATTTTCTCGATGCTGCGAACTAGGCTTTTTGCGGGATTTGAAAGTTCGAATATAAGGTTTCCAAATAACATTTTATTTGACTTTACGACGTTTCAAATATTCCATATTCATTATCAAGTAAATGAAGTGTTTTACAACGCTTGAAATTGAAATTTTGGAATGACAATAGTACGTACAAAGGGTATAGTGGATACAAGACAAAATTGAAACTTAAAATTACTCCGAAAACAACTTCAAGGTCCTGACAAATCCGGTAGTATGCAAATTGATAGATAAAGTCAAATAAAATGTTATTTGGAAACCTTATATTCGAACTTTCAAATCCCGCAAAAAGCCTAGTTCGCAGCATCGAGAAAATTAATAAGAAAATCATTAATAAGAAATACGCTCTGGTCTTCAATAAAACTTGCATAAAAGAAAAACTTCTGCCTAACTATACTAGAAAAAATAGAAGGATATGTCTCAAATAATCTACTGGTTCACGAAGCTGTCTACTGCTGCACGAAGAGGCTTACTGCTTCGCGTGAAGCAGTGCCATCACAACACCCCGCATACTCATCCCATTTGATCCAACATTTCTTGGCCAAACATGGAATTCCAGTCGTTCGCCAACCTCCCTACTCTCCAGGCATGGCTCCTTGCGACTTCTGGTTGTTTTCAAAATTGAAGACGCCACTGAAAGGATCACGTTTTGAGAGTAGAGAAGAGATGATGCGGAATGCGACGGTGGAGATGTCCACCATTCCAAAAGAAGACTTCTGGATGTGCTTCTGGCAGTGGAATGATCGGTGGGCTAAGTGTGTGCAACACAAGGGGCCCACTTTCAAGGGGATTAGGGTGCAAACGCCGTCAGGTATTTGAAATATTTTTTCATGCCTATGGTCTGATACTTTTTAGTCAGGCCTCGTTTGTTCAGTCTTGAAATGCCTAGCACCTTACGGGCCTTGCAATAAGTCCAGCAGCTATCTCAAACAATCGTCAGTTATGGAAAGATCGGGTTCAAAAGGCCGGATCCGTTGTGAGTCAAGTAACAAAATGTACAAGAACCGGCAACAGGCCATGGGCATACTTCTTCAATGCAGACTTTCGAATTCTATTCTATCACGCTCGCGCTCGTAATTTGTGCAGCAAATGTGTTCGGTTGAGAGGTCGTAATACCACCTCACTCTTTACACTTCGCCCTCTGTTAATGCAGACACGCCTCAATTGCGCCTCACTGTACAATTATACATGTCACTGTAACTTGCCGCTCGTTGTGAGCCGCACGAACTTTGTCAAACCGTAACACAAGCCTCATG